AAATGATGATGAACTCACCAAATGTATGCGACATTAGTTTCATTTTTAAATGATGATGAACTCACCAAATGTATGAGACATTAGTTTCATTTTTAAATGATGATGAACTCACCAAATGTATGAGACATTAGTTTCATTTTTAAATGATGATGAACTCACCAGATGTATGTGACATTAGTTTCATTTTTAAATGATGATGAACTCACCAGATGTATGTGACATTAGTTTCATTTTTAAATGATGATGAACTCACCAAATGTATGTGACATTAGTTTCATTTTTAAATGATGATGAACTCACCAAATGTATGTGATATTAGTTTAATTTTTAAATGATGATGAACTCACCAGATGTATGAAATGGGTTTAGACAGAAATGTTCCCCATGCACAATCATCACCAGTGTGTATAAATCTGCAAGAACCTGCATTAGTCTTTGTATTGTAGGGGAGGGAAGGATTGGAAACACATGTTTTCACATGTAACAACCTATAATGTTAGTTCCATCATGTATCATGAATCAGGTAGTTTCACTAGACAAAGTTCAAAATCTTCTACTGACTACAGTATTATCGAAAAAGAATGAAAGTACCTTGCCACTCCATTTTGAATAATAACATTTGCTGAATGCAGATGATCAAACGGTGGAAATCCTTGATCTTCAAGAAACATAATCCCTTCTAAAATCTCACGACCTAGTTGTTTAACTTGTAGTTCATCAAGTCCATGTCCAGAAGTATTATACTTCTCAGACCAATTGTCCTGGCAGTGACTCTGAATGGAATCAGAAAAAAATAAACAACCCAACCAGCTCTTGAAACCAGATATACTTGTCACAGATATATCACAAACACAATGGTTATTAGTCTGATCTTGTAGTTCAAACATGTTAAACTTTAACATCCAAGCACTTCTTTCTTTTACTCATGATTTATACTTTAGACTGTTAAAAAACATAACTCTGACATGAATTAATGATCACTTAGTTTCCACAGTGAAGCCTTCTAAATATAAATTCAAGCTTTCTTCAAGTTTATTTTACACCTATTTTGATATCAACAGTGACGCCTTTTACACTATTAAGGTTTTCTGATAACATGCAGGGCTTGAAATTAGCAGGGTTCTGGGAGCCAATAACCCTCAAAAAAGCCAGCAGGCCCAAAAAAGTGTCTGCTAGGTAGCTCAAATGGCCCCTTAAAATTGAAAGAGTCATTAAAAGTTTGACTCCAAATAAACTGATCTCAGCATTTGGTAACTGAATAGAATTTACAACAAACCACAAATGGACCTTTCTAAATTTATGGACACTTATCAGTCATGTATAAACGTCATCACTATGCATGCCCATGCAATAAACGTTCAACTCAAAGATGCGTGTGTGTGCCAACTGCAGTGGTATACGATGTATACAGCACATATAGCCTATCATGTCTAACAAGCAGTGTGTATACATACATGAGTGGAATCAATACTTGACATACAAGTGTATGTATTGTGTATATAAGTCAAGCAATGTGTTCCATGCATTCCATAGCCTTTGACAAGGATGTCGCAGCTAAGAAACCTTCCCATTTGATTACACTATCCCAAAGGATCCATGCTAGTGAGCTGCACAGCCACAAACAAAGCTGCTCGCTGATCCATCGGGATATAACAATTTGGGGGTCCACAGCTGCAATGGCAGCTCAGAGCTCTATGATTTGTGAAATTGATGCATAAAAATGTTAGCGCACTCAGCACCTGGGAAGCATTCTAAATAGTAAACATGAATGAAGAAGACACACACATGTGGAAAGAAATGTTACTGCCCTATGGATGATGTGCTAGAATGCATTAGAAGTGCTTTATGCAGAGTACGAGCTCTATGCACAAAACTTGGAGACAAGTCTTTGGCATGGCATGGCCTTGCGATAATTGAATTAGTAAGTTTTACAGTCATTTTGTGTGCAAAAATCGAAAATTATTAAAAATATAAGTTGCACAATGTAATAAAAAGGCTGTAGAATCCAATAATTAAATCTGTTATTTCCAGTAAGAGTAAAATCTCTTTTGGTGAAAACAAATTCTGATGCTTTTCAGGATTTATGGCTTTTTCTGATACAATACACATTTTTTTGGTTTATCTTTTAAGAGATATGATTTCATTAAAAAATTAAAAACTCCAAAATAATGGAATTTCCATATATTTTGTGCTATGGCCTAATTTGAGTTATGTTAAATGCTTGCCTGACAAATAGGGCTAGATACCCAGCTGTAATTGGCCAATCATGAGTTGGTATCCTGAAACTATTAGTGGTCTATTATCAAAGGATGTATTAATTGTTATAGGAACAGATTTTCAATTTGAGTTGAAACATGTGTGGGCAGAATAATTAAGGGCTATTCATGCTAATAGTCTACTAATAGTTTTCAGATTCACATTTACTTATCAACATACAGAATATTACGCCACTGTCTTTGTTATTATCCCTCTCCCACTTGCCTCTGTAACTACATTGCCTTTTTTCCCTTTCATACTCATGGTCCCATTGCCTTTTTTCCCCTTTCATACTCATGGTCCCATTGCCTTTTTTTCCCCTTTCATACTCATGGTCCCATTGCCTTTTTTTCCCCTTTCATACTCATGGTCCCATTGCCTTTTTTTCCCCTTTCATACTCATGGTCCCATTGCCTTTTTTGCAGTTGCATAATTTTTTGGATCATCAACATTTGGTTCTCTTCATTTGAAAAAAAACCTTTTTAACTTTGAGTGATTTTTGTGTGATTTAGGCAACTTTTATGTCTTCTCCATGACTTTCACCGAATGTATTTTGGAAACATTGTTCTGCCTCAGGTAGACTCTTATTTGTAAGTTCTTTTGCAACAACAGTTATTTTGGTTATTAAAGGACACATCTTTAAAGAGGAACAAAAAGTTACTGCTATACCATACTTCAGAGAGAAGTTGAAGGTCATATGTGAAATAAAATCATTTAAGTTCTCTGACAAAAATGAAATGGTTTGTCTTGTGTTTTTTTTCATGACATACGAGCTCAAAACAAAATAAATTGAGATATGTTGTTATCTTTAGTTTCCTTTCAATTTACGTAACATCCATATTTGATTCAGTGATTTTTCTGATAACCTCCACTATAGACTACATTTTACAACGAGCTATAGCACTGGGCCCTAAAAATGCATGTTTTGGGGGCCTGGCTAGCTCCCTAAAAAAGTATAAGTTTATTTTTGGTATTTTTTTTCATCATTAAAAATGTAGTCTCCCAAAGATTCAGTAGTAAGCCTGAAGACTTATAATGCTCAAATTTAGGGTGTGATCCCCATGCTGAAGACAATACAGATATCCCACTACAGATACAATGCTAGAATTAGGGTGTGATCCCCATGCTGAAGACAATACAGATATTCCCACTACAGATACAATGCTAGAATTAGGGTGTGATCCCCATGCTGAAGACAATACAGATATCCCACTACAGATCCAATGC